CCAAGGTCAGTTGAATCCCTTCAGGAATTACCCTGAAACCCTGTACTGCAGTTTGTAGAACCTTTGTCAGTGTCAGCCATGTGGATGAGTCACGGCCATTGCTTGGCCAATGTGCTCTCTGTGAAACCCTGAGAGAATGTTTTCTCTCCATGCGACTCTCCTTAGGTACACTCTACATCATTGATCACTTTCCTCTTTGATGCCATAATCTCCTTGATCAGAAAATTTGGGACACTACTTAGTTACATGATGTTACAGTACAAGTTCTCATATGTCCTGAGACCTATTTTTTTTTTTTCTGCAGAACTGGGAATTGAACTCAGGTCCTTGAGCTTCTCAGGGAAGCACTTATTCCAATGAGCTATCTCCCCAGCCCATGTCCTGAGTCTTAATTGACCTTGGAAGGCTAGGGCCAAAATGTTGGCTTTCCTTGCTTCCCTCCTTTTTCTCTAATTTTGGTCTGCAAACTTAGGTTGTTAATCATCCAGAAGACAAGCTTATTGTTATTGCCATACAAATTAGGTTGTTAAGCTTAACCTCACTATCTGTCTGAATATCAAGCATCTTAGGCATAACATGGAACAGGTACTTTTCATCAAGTATTGATATGTTCAACTTTAAGTCCCTACAGAAGATGATAGAAAACAATTAAAAATTAGAATATATTTTTTAAAAAGGCATAAAGAATTATATACTTCTTATGTTTACACATAAGTTCAAAAAACTAAACATATACAACCTTGAAGCAGGACAGTCACACAGTATTCCTTTTCCTATCTCTTGCCTTCATTCACCACCCCCTTCTTTTTGAACAAACATCTACCCGAGAGACAGCACAGCAGCAACTGGCATGTCATGACAAGCAGCCCGTATTCATAAGACTAGAATGACAGGCAATCCAAGCATGAAACTACTATTACAGATTACCATCTTCAGTGCAGTTGCTTAGTTCACAGGTATCAGTATATAGAGTTACTCAGGGTGAAAATCTTTCCAATTAACTGCTAGATTAAAAAATCTGGAGAGTCTCAGGATCATTGCCTTGCCCATCTTCTACATAAAACTGTATGGCTTGACATTGTCGTGTTTCCTAGCTCTTCTCCTTTCACTCTCTTGATTAGTTAGTCCTCGAGATCCTGCTATCCTTTTACTTGTATTACACCTTTCTATTTGTATTTCTTCCTTTGAGTTCTTATACTAGGGAAACTATATGATATTTACACATGTGTGTCTGGTTTATTTCACTTATGAATATATGTTCAAGTGGCATCCACTTCAATATAAAGGCTTGGAGTTTATCATTCTTAATAGCTCAATAATACTCCATTGTGTAAAAATACCACATCTTTTTCAACTGTTCATCAGGTGATGGGCATCTTGTTGTTTACATGATTTGGCTATCACAAATTCTGCTGCTATACACATAGGCACACATATATCACTATGATATTATGTTTTCAGATCCTCTGGGAAATATCCCAGTGGAGGAATAGCTGGTTTAAGCGGGATTTCCAGTCCAACTTTTCTAAAGAGACTCCATAATGATTTCCATAATGGTTGCACCAGTCTACATTTCCACCAGCAGAGGAGAAGTGTTTCTTTTTCCCCACAGCCTCTCCAACATTTTTTGTTGGATGATTTCGTTATGATAGCCATTCTTTCTGGGGTGAGATGATATCTCA